AGCGGCTTCTCGCTGATTCCTTTTCACGGCCGCGTAATGTGGTAATTGCACGGCGAGCGAGAGACGGTCTTCTCCGCAAAGTCGCCTCGCCGGGAATCCAAGGAGTGCGACAGCGAGGAATGTATTCGGGGGCGCGGGTAACGATCGTCAAATGTTTGCGGTCGCGCGTTAAACGATTTGACCGTAAATCTTCGGTGGCGCGTTGTATCCCCGATACGCGTGGGTTGGACGCTAAATTGAACGGTCGACACCGGCCGGATTTATTCGCGGCCGGACGAAACGACAGCGACGTAACAGGCTATCGCTAATTAACGTGAGGAAGCTCATTTGCGATTTACGTTAAACGCCTGTAAATAGGCATTATCGGCTGTGTCGTCGGTTTAGCTCGGCGGAGAAGCCCGAGAAATGTAAGCGTGTCTGATAACCGTCGGTATGTTCTTTTTCACCGAACCGACCGCAGTTGTACGAGAATATTTGCATACACATTGAAGCGTACGAAACGCACGCGAGAGACTCTCACGTTCCGGTGTGCGTATATTTCCCGAACCGGCCACTTCGGCTAAGAAGAACGGATCACGCGCGAATCGCCAGAGTCGACGTGTACACTGCGAAAAAAAGACTGAAAGATTTATCCGCGAAATGTAAGACTCGCTTCTTCACAGTGCGCCGGCTGCCGAATCATTACCGTGGATTCTGACGGTCCGTCAATTCGCGTGTTTTAAAGGAGACGAGAGATTAATATATTGAGGAAGACGAGGAGAGGAATGAAAGTTCCTTAGGCTGACGGAGAATTTCCGTACGATGCTTATTTCATTACACGAACTGCGATTTTTTCCGCGTGATAATAAATCGGATAAATGACGCACGTCCATTGTTGTTTTATATACGATATTAAGAGAACGATAAAAACAAGGAATGACTGAGATGTTAAGTAATCGAGTGTGACGTTGGAATTGACAACAATGATCCGAGATCCGGCGAAAGAAAAAACCGGCGCGTAAGCCGTTGCTATTTTCTCGCCCGGACATTCTTTCGAGAATAACATCGGCGGTCGGATTTACATGAAAAAAAAGAAAAAAAGAAACTTCGTGCACTGTGCGCATATTAATTAAGAAAGAGACCGGAGAATACACTTGCGTCAGCTTACCGTCGCTTACCGAAATAAGCTTTCTCGAGCCACGATCACTTTTTTTGTTATCCGCGCCGGAATCCAGAAAAGAGCGGCGAGCGCTGATGCGAGGGGCGTGAAAAAAAAAGGAAAAAAAAAACAAAAGTCGCAGAAACCCGGAATTTCGACCGGTTCACCTTTTCGATCGTGACTTTTGTTGCATGTCGGCGGTATATGACGCGTCGATGCACACTCTATGCAGTCCGTGGACTATGTAAGAAGTGAGCTCTCTCGTACGAGAGAGAGAGAGAGAGAGATAATGACAAGATGAATACGAAATGGCGAACGCGCAAAGGCACCTTTCGATACGCGACCTTGACTGGAGATCGCTTTTTCTTTCCGATTCGTCATTCCGAGCCATTGATGACCACATTGGACTCGCTCGCGAGTGAGCGAGGAGCGGCTCTCGTCGGTGTTTCTTTATTATTTTTTTTTTCTTTAAAAACGATTACACAACAGCCGTCCATACCGCGGCCATGGTGCGTCGCTGAACTTGAATTATTATGCACAGAAGAAGTTTTCCTGCCTCCGAGAGAGTTTATAGCCGTCTCGCGCGCCTCGGCGTATGATATTATTGAATACGCTTCTCGTTCGCGCGCGCTTCCTGTTCTCCCGGTTTCACCCGGGTTCGAAACGGCCCGCGTTTTCCAAATTTTCACGCGCCCGAATCGCCGATAAGAACGTTAACACGGCGGGCTCGCCCGGGTTAAACTCACGCACGGCGTTTGCAAGTGCGTTTATCGTCGGAGCGTAATCGCGATGTTTACACAGAAAGAAAGTTAGTATCAATTCACAGGACTCGTGTTCTCACACTGAGCGAGAATATATATAATCTTGTACGAAGGTAAAACTAAAACTCAAAAATACATACAATCTTATACGAAGATAAAACCTGTTTTTATACGAATGCAATCCTACATAGTTCCACTGAAAATATGTTCGCGTTGTCCGAGCTAAAAATCCGTTCGGATTAAAGAGATTCCATCGTACCCGATGAAATCTTTCTCACGAAGAAGTTCGATACAATTCCACGAGAAGTATATTCTTTTCGTTCGAGAATAACGTCGGCGATTTGGGAGGGAAAAAGTATCAGGCCGAGAGAGAGAGAACGGTGTCTACAAACCGGTAAAAGATTAGAGACTCCCGCTCGTAAATACACGAAACTAGATGAGTCTTGAATCGACACTGATCGTGTTTCCGTGGGCAATTCCAAGATCGAGTGGAAAACTCTCGACGAGGCGAGGTTTTCCGTATCGATACCGACCGCCGAGGGTTCTCGGGGCGCCGCTTCTCAACCGTGGTGGCGCGTCAAGCTGCGCGAGTGAAAAGCCATTTCTACGATCGCACGCTCATTACATTCGGCCGAGTCGCGCGGACAATGCATTTCCCTCGTGGGATATCGCATTAGCAATTTACGACGAGGCGGATATCCACGCGAGACGGCGAGCGCGAAGAAGATTCGCGCAAGACTCGCCGGCGTCGAGCGAGCGCGCTCGGTTTATTGTTCAGCGGAAAATCGCTTAGCGCTCGCTCGCTCGCGCTCTCTCGAACGGAAACGGGGACAGTTTTTTTAGGGGACCGATAACTGTGTCATTTGTCCCGCAGCCTCCCCCCCCACCCGGCCCGCGCGATCATATTTTCCCATTGTCAGCGCGCGGTAGCCACGCCGCAATCCATCTACCTGTCTCTCGTGGCACGTTAGGCCTCGCCGTCGTTTTTGCAGGCAATTACGTCGCCACATTAATTTACACCGCCTCCTGCATCCAATCGCGAGGAATGTCAGTCCACCGCCGAGACAATTGCCTCATTATCGCCCGTAGTTTCTCCGTAGTTTCGCGGACGCGCGCCCGATACGCCAGCCCCGCGCCTGCGATCACCAAAGATTCCTCATACGTTCTATAAAAGAGTACAAAAGAGTTAAATCAATCTCGAGATGCGTCCGCAAAGACGCCGAGGACTCTTCTCCGCGATGCTGATTGGCCGAGATCTCGAGAAATCTCGATCTCGATGACGAGTCGTTGCACGGGAAAAATTAGCGCCAATCGCATTCTTACATAAGCGGAAATAATATATAATCTTATGCGAAGATAAGACTCGCTCACGCGTGAGCAAATTCTACAGAGTTCCATGAAAAATATCATGTTCCTGCTGTTCGAGGAATAGTTTTCACGCATTGGACAAAATATCGCGTCGAAAGAGCGATATCTTCGAAATCAAATTTATATCGGTCTGAAGATATCGTCTTTTTCTATCGGACATTTGTTTCTCTCAATTTATGTAGAAATTATTCCTGAATAATAAGAACACGATATTTTTTGAAACTACATGGAATTTTTTTTTCCGATAACCAAGTTTTGTATTATCTGTATCGCGCATCGGTGAAGAACTTCATGTAAATAACGGCCCGTTGGAATTTTTCTGTCACTTTAACATGGGAATATGTTAAAAAGTGCACGAATGTATGTTAACTTAACATATTCGCCTTGTTAATTGCGCTAAGAAGCATTGCAAATGCCTCACCTGGAAGGACGTGTCGGACTGAAACTTGGTAAACAGAGAGACGGAAAGCTCAGGTCGAAAAGTGATCCCGGTTCATTTTCGGAGCGGCCGCAGGAAGATTACCCAAAACAGACCCGAAATAGGCCCGAATTGATCCTGTACTGTTGAAGACAACGTTGACAGAGGGAATATGTCTCGTAACTTTCGCCCCGATCGGATACCTTCTGACTGAAGCATTTCCACTGCCTCTTAGTGCTTCTCCAACATTACTTTTCAACACATTCACCTTCTTAAAGGGGCCAACCGGCCAATTTCAGTGGTCCGTTACTTATACAAACTTTTTACCGTCTGGTCACGTGTTCCGGCGGTAACAGAGATGTCACCTTCTCATCCGTCGAATTTCAGCCCGGTGCTTCTTTAGTTAATTACACGAACCGAGATGTCCTTTTTCTCCTATGTGACAAGTGCGATCAGGTAAAAGCGCGCGTTCGTCTCGCCGAATGCGAGTCGCACGACGCGATATCGGCCGGCATCGGGGATTCGTTGCCGTGAAATGTCGCGCCTTCGCCAGCGTCGATCCTCCTCGCGGATCAATATCTCTCTCTCTCTCTCTCTCTCTCTCTCCTCGCTTTTATCCTATCGCGTAAAAGTGACCGTAAATATTTTCCGACGCTCGTGTCCACATTACATCATCGATCATCTCTAGAACCCCACTCGTGCGTGCCGCCGAACCGTCACACGCGTCGACCGCGACGAAATATCGTGCGCGATAACGAAATGATCGAGTCTCCTTGGAGCCGCCTGTATCGCGAGATATCTCGCGCAACTCTTCTCTCTTCGATCGGCCCTCCTGATCCTGTTTAATTATATATATATATATATATCCCTCCTCTCCTCCCCCGCTGATGTACGACCGAAACGTTACGCCGCGGTCGATTCAAAGATATATCGCGATAAACACGGCGGGATCGATTCCCGAGTCTTCACGTGGCGCGCGTGCAACGATTCGAGCCGCCGCTCGAGCGGCCATCGGGAGTGCAACCGAAAGAGAGAGAGAGAGGGAGAATGGCGAGATATTAATATTTAAATCATCTCTCGCGAAAAACTCGCCTACAGCGATCCGATTTGCCCCGATTGACCGGCCAAGAGTCGATCGTTAAATTTGCGAGCGAGAAAGAAGCGCGTCAGCTGACGGCGTTCTCTCTCTCTCTCTCTCTCTCTCTGCAAAAATAGACTCCCAAGGAGGAAGCGCGTTATATAACCGAATCGGCAATTACACCTGTTAAGCTACCGCGGCGCTACGAGAGACTCTCTCTCTCTCTCTCTCTCTCACCTTGCGCTTTTTCTAACTTCGCTGCCCGGCGCTGTCCAACGTGATCGGCGGCGTGATCCAGGTTGCGTCGCTGTGCGGCACGATAACACATATAATCCCTCAGGATTCTCTCGTCGAGTCACGAGGTGAAGGCATCCCCTTCGCGGGCCGACGACGACGAGCCGAGATCCCGTGGCAACGGCGACGAAGACGTGGACGCGGGCACGTGACGTACATTGATATTCCGCGGCATGGATCACCACTGGCACGAGAAAAACAGATCAGTAGCGGCTACGTCGAACGGGGGAAACGAACGTGACCGCGCGCGCTCGCGGAACTCGATACTCTCTTTCTCTCTCTCTCTCTCTCTCTGTCGATACGGTGTGTATTATACCGGCGCCGGCACTACGTTGGCTACCACTTCACACCGGCGGGTTTCCTCGCGCACCTGGTCTCGCGGAACCGAACGCAAATCAGGCAAGGTCGCCGGGAGATGAGGACTTCCCCGTCGAGGACGTCGTCGTACGCTGCTCAGCTGTTTTTCCGCCCGGTTTCTATCGGGCCGATGCCGCGCGATGTCGCACACACGTGGCTTCGCACGACGCACGCACGCGTATGCACGCGTCCTCGATGCGAAACTTGACGCGTAGACGACCGGGAGCGAGAGAGAAAGAGGCTCGGCAGCTGGTGGCGAGATGGCGAGGTTCGCAAGAACGACGAGGATGATGACGAAGGGTGACGACGATGACGGCGGCGACGGTGGAGAACTTTTTTCCAGCGGGATCTGCTCCGCTGACTGCCCAGGGTCAACCGGCTGGCTCTGCGCGCGGCACTTTTACCCGTTGAGTACTCTCAAGGACTCGGAGGTGGCTCCTATTCCTTTCTCTTATCCTTTCGCGCGCGCGCGCCTTTTTTATCCCGCTAACCTTTTTAAACGCACTTTTAATTCCACTCGGGGGCCGCGTGTCCCCGAACCGCGCGTTCCCGGCTCCTCAGCGGTGTCACGCGGATTCTGAAAGATCCCTCGGGATTGCCTCCGCGGATTTCTCAACGTCGTCGGCGCTCGGTAACGATCAACGAGCGAGCAGGAGAACGGAAAGCGAATGGATCCCGCCACATCCGGATCGTCTTTCAGACACGTCCTTCACTACCGCGGTCTGCTCTCCTCCGCCTCTTTCTCCTCGGTTTCGAGAGAGCCCCCTCGGCTGCTTCTCCCCCGGCTCGACGCCTTCCTCGTCGTCGCGAAGCACGCGCGACGATCGCGAGGACTCCCGTCCTTCGCGCGAGAAATTCTTCCCCCGCGAGTCCCTCGCCTCCCCCTGCGGTTTTCCCGCACACGGATGTTGTATCGCGGTGTGTTCCTCTCCTCCTTCTCCACCTCGTTCTCCTCCTTCTCCTTATCCTCCTCCCTCTCCCTCTCTGTCACGGTCTGTCCCTCTCTTTCTTCGCCGTCCTTTTCCCTTTCGCGTCACCCTTTCCGTCCGTCTGTCTCCTTTCTCTTCTGCGTGTTGTAATCCCTTTTGCGAAACTTCTGCGCCCGGACGAGGCGGCGAGGTAAAAGCGAGCGCGCTGCCGATCGTGAACCCCGGGGAGAGAGAGAGAGAGAGAGAGAGAGGAGAGAGAGAAAGAGGGAGGAGAGAGAGAGAGAGAGAGAGAGGGAGGGAGGGAGAGCGAGAGAGAGAGAGAGAGAGAGAGAAAGAGAGGCGGGTTAAATTCGCACGCGTCGAGAGTCCTTCCACGGTTGGCTGTCGGGATGCCGCTCGCGATGATGAAGACCGCTCTCTAGCAACTCCGGAAACGGATTACCGGTGCCGGGATACCAGCGACGGTGACCTTGAACACTCGCGTTCCGCGCTGGACGAAGTGAAACGCGCGGGGCCAATTACTTTCCATCGTTCGTTCTCGCTTCGTCGGCCCGCTGCTCGCCGTCGGCCGCGAGTGTCGCCTTTTCGACCGGGTATCCGCTTTATCCGCACTAGGACGACGAACAACAACTTATGTCGCTACACCGTGCACACTCACTCGTCTCTCACGCGGCGTACACCTCCGCGAACGAACGAACGAACGAGCGAGCGAAATACTCGCGCGAGAGAGCGCGAGTATATATTTCGCGAAGCAGCGGACTAGAAAACGTCGTTACGCAATGGAACGGAGTTCGCAGTGTTCCTCTCTTCTCTCTCTCTCTCTCTCTCTTCTCTCTGCTCTCCTTGCTCTTTCCTTAGCACGCCCTCTCCGACTTGTCCATCGGGGCACGTAGATCCTCCGCGCTGCCGTTCCTCGTCAAGGGCGTGCGGAGCGGCGATCACGCGAAATCCAAGCACACACCAAGCGCGCACTCGGTGAAACCTTCCTTTTTTTGGGGGGTCTTTCCTCGGAAGAAAGAACGGGTGCGCCGAAAAGCCGCCCGGTGAAAGAGAGACTGGCAGGAGGTATATTCGGACCGCGGAGAAAGAGAGAGAGAGGCAGGGGATATTCGGCTTGTGCCCAGCCTACAGGAGGCAGGATCGGATTTTAGCGCGCGCAGCACGCGCTCCCGCGAGCTCGAGTCGGCGGTTTCAACTTTTACTTTCAGCTCTTACACAACGCGGCCCGCTCTTGCTGGTACGTAAGCGGCGAGCGAGCAGCAAGCCCTGGTCTCTAGCTTCAAAGCTTCTTCCTCCTCCTCCTCCTCTTCTTGTTCTTCTTCTTCCTCTTCTTCTTCCTCTACCTCTTATTCTTTTTCTCTTTAACTTCTACCTCGGCATCTACTTCTTTTTCTTCTTGCCCGATCGCTTCTTCTTCTTCCTCCTCCTCCTCTTCTTGTTCTTCTTCTTCTTCTTCTTCTGCCGCCTCTCCTACTCCCCTTCTGTTCTTTTCTCTTCCTCTCGTCCTTCTACTTCTATTTCTGTATCAACTTCTCGTTCTTCTTCCTGTTCTATTTTCCGCGACCTTTTTACTTCCTGGTGTCACCTTTCCGTCAACAACAGCTCCCAGGGATTGCGAGATCAGTAACGTATTTGAAAACGACTCCGCCTTCACCTCCTCTCCGACGTGTGGAAATGGAGCACGGGCTCTCCCGACGCCTTTTCCCTCTTGATTTCCCTTTCCGGATCCTTCCTTCCGTTGTCGTCGCAGCCGATTAAAGAACACGCACGCCTAGGGAATCACGTGTGAGCGAGCACATGTCACAAATCCCGTTTCCCCGTCCTTTCAAACGGGAGTCACCCGGCAAATTCGCCGAGGACGATAACGAGCAACAATATGCTGCCGAGGGGATTCACGTCGCCAGCGGAGTCACCGATTTCGAGCTTCGGAAAACAGAAACTGACGAATCTCCCGCGAAACCTGTGTACAGAAGAAGGAAGAAACAGGGACCACGTGGCTTCGCGGTGTGAACACGCGGCGTACAGCAAGGAGGATGCTCGACGATGTTGTCGGTTTCGTCGTGATAGTCGGTACCGCACTCCCGCACGCACACACGCGGTGACACTCGATTGGAAGCGGCGTACGTTTTTCGCGCGTGTTTACTGTCTCTCTTTCTTTCTCTCTCTCTCTCTCTCTCTCCCTCTCTTTCTTTTTCTCTTCCTCTCTCCCCCTCCCTCTCTCTCTCTCTTTCTCTCTCTCTCTCTCTCTCCGTCTGCCTCTATTTCTCCTTCTTTTTTCCTCCCTCACTCACTCTTCCTCTCTCTCTCTCTCTCTCTTGCTCACTCTTCTCGCCGGAGGACTTCTTCAGGGAGAGAGGGTCTCTTCCGGTCTCCGTGGTGTGTCTCACTGCTCCGTCGTAACTTTTGCGCAAAGCCGAGACCCTCTCTCACTCTCTCTTTCTCTCTCTCTCTCTCTCTCTCTCTTTCTTTCTCTCTCTCTCTCTCTCTCTCTCTCCCGCTGTCACTCTCCCTCTCTCACGCTCTCTCTCTTTCTCTGTCTGGTCCTAGGTAAGCGCGAAGAGAGGTAGAGCCGGCCGGTCGGCAGGAGGTGGCAGCGGTGGTGGTGGTGGTGGTTACCGATTCGTTGGTAGTGGTGGCACATCAGCGATACTCTAACGTGTATCCAATGAGTGCAACGACGACGGACGGCGACGATGGCGGTAGTGGTGGCCGATGGTGATGGCGATGATAGTGGTAGTGGCGGTGCCGGAGCAGCGGCGGGTGGTAGTGGTAAAGAAGAGGCCAGGTGGGCCCCCGGTTGGGCTTTACGGGCGAGTCCAGAAAGGGTTGAGGGTCCGAAAAGTGCGTCTCTCTCTGCCGAGAGCTCCCGACGGTATACCCCGCGCGCGTCTGAGAGGAGGCCTCGTGAGTTTGTGAGTTCGTTTGCAAAGGGATCGTAGTATTGGTTCCTCGTCGAGTGGCACTTTTCCCTCTTTCTCTCGCTCGCACGCCCTTGCTCTTTCTTTCTCTCTGTCTCTCCCCCCCTCTCTTTCTCTCTCTCTCTCTCGCTCGCTCTCTGCTCTCCCACCGTCTCTCTTTCTCGCTCTCTACGTCTATCTCCCGTTCTCCCTTTCTTGCTCTTTCTCCCCCACCATGAGGCACCTCCACCTACCACCACCTTCCTCCACTCTTCCTTTCCCCACTGTGGTGTGCTCTCACTATTGCATTACAAATAGCTCTCTTGCCTAGGTCTCTCGTTGGTGAGGTGTCGCTCACTTTGTGTCTGTAATGCACAAACGGTCGCGCGCAACGCGTCTGTACGCGTGCGTATATGCGTGTCTCGCGTGCATACGCGGTTTGTATGTTTGCCGGCCGGGCACATGCACAGGTCGTGATAAGAGCACACTCTCAGTCGGTCTCTGTCCGTTTTATTGGAGCGCGATTCTCCCTTGCCGTCTTCCTCTCTCTCTCTCTCTCTCTCTCATCCCTCCCGCCGTTCTACGTCGCTCTCTCTCCTTCAGACGCGTTGTCTCGCACCCTCCACACATACATACACTCGCGCATACGCTCCCCCCTTCCCCCCTCTCTCTTTCTTTCTCTCGAGGTCGCTCTAGCATACGCGAAGACGCACACACCAGTTCAGCTTCTATGCACAGTTTCCGTTCTCCTCGCTCCGACCCGTGCCGGAATAAGGTGCTCCTTGTCTCGGCAATGGTGTAATACAAGAGCCGGAGCTCTTCGGGTTCGCGCGCGTAATAAGTAAGAATGAAGCGACACAGAGATGACCGCGCGCGCGGTCCGCTATCGGCTCCTTCCTAGTCCGTCCCTCCGGCCTTTCTTCACGATGCCCTTCGCAGCCTCCTCGGCAGAGGCCATTCCTTCCGCTCCTATCCGTCCGTCCATTCTATCCTCCGCTATGCCCTATTACGTCCTTTCCCACCTCCGTTTCTCCGCTGTGCCTACAGTTTCTACTCCACCTACTCGTCCCTTCCGTCTTTCTCATTTGTTCCTGCACCGTCTTTTTCTTTCGGGCTCGTCTCCTCCCACGCTCCGACCCCGCGGTTTTCTCTCCTCGCCGATCCTTTCTTCCTTTTCCAGAGCGCACTATTATGGCGCTTTTTAAAACGGGACACCTCCCTTTAATGCCAGCTCATCGATCTCTCTCTCTCTCTCTCTCTCTTTCTCTGGCGACTCGCCCTTCTCATCTTACGTTAACTCGCGCGGCACATCTCGCGGTGCCAATTGTACTCGCACGTTGTGTCCCTTCACGTTGATTAATCGCTATCGCCTCGGATATGTATAATGCACACGTCTCGCGAGAACTGACGCTAATGACACGTCAGTGATAAATCATTAAGTCCCCCCCCCCCC